CATAAAGCTTTCGACTTTAATTAACGACGCTACGCTTACTTTTCTTAATTAGCTTCGATTTTCGATACTTTAGATCTTTTTTAATAACGATCTTAATATCGAGCTTTAACCGCTTTTTTTATTAAAGAGGCTTAAGCTATTTAGCATAAGCGTTTTAAATATCTCGAATAAGAAAACTTATTAAAAATGCAAAAACTATTAAAAGATATAAACTTACGTATACTTTTTCTTTTATGCGCTTGCGAAAGCTGCTTCGACGATCGAATGATTAAAAGAGTATATAAAAGATATATTAATTTAAAACAATATCTCGACGAGCTTATTTATATAAATACTATTAAACCTTTTCGTAAAAGGTACGACGGTTTTACTTATTTTATTTACTTTTATTACGATAAAATAAAAGAAGTCGAGTGCTATAATATAAAGTATAAGTTTAAAGCATTAGATAAATTCAAACTTTTTTAAGCTTTTCGTCGAAAAAATATTATACATTTTCGCATCGATAACGAAAGCGAATACGTCTTTTAGCGTTTTTAAACATACTTAATTAAGACAAGCGTTCGATTTGAACTTATTGTTTCGTATAATTTATAAATGAATAAAACTATCGCAAAGATCGAACGAATACTTTAAAATATTATAAAAACGCTTTTATAAAGTTTTAAATTCGATACGAAATAATAGCCGGAACTGCTTTGCATTGCTGTTTATCTTTACTTTCGTCGCTTTTATAGCTTTATTAGCATGACTTTTTTTAAAGCTACGAACTTATGCAAATCGTTCGTTTTGCACTTACGTATTATCGGCTTTAAAGCTTAGTTTTTCGAAAGCAAAATTAAAAAGATAAAATCGTATATTAAACGGATCTCTTACGGAAAGCTAATTAAATACGAAAGTAATTATATTTATCGTATTTTAACGACCGACGGTTTTATTAAAAAAGCATATAGCGCGTATATAATTAAGCAGCTTTTAGCTTTTGCCGCTATCGAATAAATAGATTTTATAAAAAGATTATTTACTTTTTCGCACTTTAACTTCGCTTTTTACCTTTTTAATTCTTACTTTTTAACGCTTTTAAAGCGTAAGACCGAAAGTTCGCTTAATATAAAGCTAAAATGCTTACGCTTTTCGCTTACCGTTAAGAACGAAGACTATTTAGCTCGAAAGCTTACCGCTTAAGATCTTCGATTTTTACTTTTTTAAAAGAACTTTTATATCTTTAATATTTTTAATCGCTTTTATTATTTTTCGACTTTTCTTTTTTTCTTTTCGTTTTTCGAAAGTATATTCGATTTTACTTTTCGAACTCTTTTTCTTTCGTTAATTCTTTTTGAACTTTACTTTAAGCTTTACCGAGACTTTGACTTACTTGACTTAATCGCTTTTATAGCATTCTTAATAAAGTAGACTTTAAAATCGAAAAAGAAACTTAAAGTTAAGCACGCCGGAAATAAAAATAGTTTTAATATTTAAACTCTATTCGATCTTATAATAAAAATCACTTTCTTCGAAGCCAGCTCTTTTAAACTTTTCGAATCGAAGACTTATAAACAAGCTATAGCCGATAGTAATCGAACGGCTTAGCTAAAAGCTATAGCCGAAGAATAAAAATCATTTTACGAAAATAATACTTAAAATTTTATCGATTTACTTACGACTTAGCGCGTCTTTTCCGGTCGATAAGTATATAAATATAAGCGAAGACTTAACGGCTTTATAGTCCGTTAAAAAGCACGCTAAATCGTTAAAAGAAATCAATAAAAAAAAAGCATTGATTATATCGAGATCTTTATTACGATCGTTAAGCTTATAAATTATAAAATGATTTTCGCTATCGTCGCTGCTTTAGATTAAAAGATCGATTAAATAAACGTTAAAACCGCGTTTTTATATAAAAAAGTTATAGAATCCGTTTATATAAAATAATTTATTAAGCTCGAAAACAAGATTAAAAAGGTTTGCAAATTAAACTGCGCACTTTACGGACTTAAATAAGCTTTTCGCGTTTAATATAATACTTTATTCGAATTTTTTATTAAAATAAGATTTGAACTTTTCGATATCGACGCAAGCGTTTTTTATAAAGAAAGAATTATTATCGTTATTTACGTCGATGACTTATTTATCTCCGGTCGTAATCGCGTTAAAGTTAATAGATTTAAAACTGCTTTATCTTAACGTTTTTAAATAATTAATTTCGGACTAATAGCTTATTACTTAAGCATAATAGTTACTCGAGATCGCGTTAATCGAACGCTTAGTTTCGGATAATAAGCTTATATCGAAAAGATCATTTAAGACTTCGAGATAAAAAATTGCAATACTTACGATATACCGATAAAAGTTTCTTTTAAAATCTTAATCTTACTTTTATTAAAGTATTAAGCTTTTTTCGAGCTTCGTTACGAATACTAGCGATTTATCGGTTCGCTTATGTACGCTATATTAAGTTTTAAGCTCGATATTGCTTTTTTAGTTTTTATAGTTAATCGTTTTACTTTAAATTTAATTATAAAATATATAAAAGCAGCGAAACGCATCGTTCGCTACTTAAAAGAAATCATTCGCTACGAACTCGTTTATCGAAAAGACTTAAGCGATTTAACCGGCTTTTTCGATGCGGATTAAAATAATTATTAATTAATACGCAAATTTATAAAAAGCTTTATTTTTAACGTTAAAAGCAAAGCAATCAGCTAGTCTTCGAAACGGCAACTTACCGTTGCTTTATTTTCGTACGAATCCGAATTAATAGCCGAAACGGAAGCCGTTAAAAAAGCAATTTAGCTTTAACGCTTTTTAATCGAAATACTTTCGTAAAAAAAAACGGTTTTAATTTTGATTTATTGCGATAATTAAAAAGCGATCGCATTAGCGAAGAACACTTAATTTTATTATCGAATTAAGCACATCTACTTTCGTTGTGACGACACGCCAGGTCTCCTGGACGCACCTCACATGCGCCAAGCTACTTCCTTCCTTTTTTCCTTCGTATTCTTCGTATTCTCTTATTCCTCGCTTTTGACCTATGAACCATAGTTCACGAGTCCTTGGCGCTCTTACTTTCGTGTATATAGACCTTAGCTACCTTCGACTTTTACACTCGGTAGTTGTTGATTTTAAGTTATTACTTTAAGATTCTCTTAAGCTCTTATGTGAACCTTCGCGCTTTCGTAAGTTCTTTTAAGTAATCGCTTAAGGTCGTTATATTATCAATAACTATCTTACTCCGCCGGGAACGGCTTTAATAATATTCCTTTTCTTTAAAATTCTTTAATAGTTGGACGTCAAAACACTTAAACGATTCTAACGGTCACGAAAAGGCTTATTCCAAGTATAACTTGAAGGATAGCACTTATACAACACAGCAACCCTCGCCCCTCGGGCAAAATCCTTCGCACACCTTTTAAAGCTGCTCTAGCAGTTCCTTCCTCCTTTTTTACGGCCCAACTAATAATTCCTTTTACTTAAAAAAAAGCTATTAGTAAGCAAGACGATAAAGATGATCTTTCGGCCCTTATCAACCTCGAGGAAGCCTTGGCCTAACACTAAGCCCTCTTTTAGTCTTAACGAAAGGCCGTTGAGCTTAAAAAGCTCTTCGTAGATATAAAAACCCGCAACGAAGAGCTCGACAAGAGCGCTAGCGAATAAAAAACCTTCGCTAAAAGGGCTGAAAAAAAGGCCCGTCGAGCTCGAAAGGAACTAGACTAGCTTTAAGCGGTCTTGCCAATTACGAAACGCCCGTCAGAGCCTCTTTAAGTGTCTTTCGAAGATAATTTTAAAAGCAAAGAGCTATACAAGCCTTCGGTCTCTTAAGCCACTCTCTTTACTTATAGAACCGCTAACCTTCGCCGCTTTTTCGCCGACGACGATGAACCACTTTCTTCTTACAAGCTAACTAACTTTCGCATTCTAGCTAGGTTCAACACCTTTAGAGCTTCCTCCTTAGCTTCTTAAGGTCGCGCTCGTATCGAGCGGATCTTTAACTTTGAACAAAAGCTTTTAAACGGTGTAAGCTACCGAGCACGCTATTAGCAAGCCCGCGTCTTTAACAACTTAAAAGCTTTCGAAGAATACTTCTTTATAAAACGCTAGCGTAAGAACTACGTCTTTAACTAAACCGAAGAAACAGCTTACTTGTTCTTAGCCCTTTTGGTTATAAATCGTAGCAACCTCGTAACCGCCTCGGAACTCGTCCAGATCGCTTTCGAGTTCTTGAACGACCTCGCTGAAAAAGCTAAAGCGTCAATTAAGTTCGAAAAACTTTATATAAGGCTTAACTAGCAATTCTAAGACTTCTACCTTGTTTTTTCGGAGCTTGCCGCTACCGCTGAAATCAAGGACGAAGACCGATTACGTAAAGCCTTGCGTTCTAAGATTATCAAGACGCTGCGCGACCAGCTCTATTTAGAATTTGCTAAGACTACAACTTTCAAAGACTTTTAGACCGCCGTCTAGCAGTTAGCTACTAGCCAATACGCGTTTGCAAAGCTTTACGACGCTTTACAAGCTAAGTATAATACTCAATTCGCGAAGAGCTTTTATAATAGAGCTCGTAACGAATCCCGTTCGGCTTAAAAAGCAGCGGTTAAGCAAATCACTTATTACGAGAACCGCTAAGATAGCTTAACCCTCGTCTTTTTCCTTACCTTTTAGCGCTAAACTTTTAATAGCTTTAGCGCTAATGCAAATCGATTTAATCGATCCAATAAATTCTCTTTTTCCGGAAACGCTTTTAAGTTAGCGATCAAGACCTTTAGATCGTCTCGTAAAGACTCGAATACGCCGAAGCTCTCTCGCCACTACTTAATCAACGAAATAAAATACGGCGCTAGACCTGAATACGGCTTTTATTCGGATGACTCGGACGATAAGCCTTACTCCGATGCTCTTGAAGATCACTAAGAGCTCTTTCTTATTAACTTTAACGCTTTCGATAATAAAGGAAACGTCGAAGCTTAAGCAAAGCCTCTTTCTTAAGCCAGCTTCGAGATATGCGATACTTCGACTTTACGAAGCTTTTTGATAATAAAGCTATGATTATACCCGTTACCTTTATTAAGAACGGCCTTTCGTATAAAGTATCTGCTTTGCTCGACTCAAGAGCTAATAAGTACGCACTGATTGATTTAGCGCTACTTAAATCACTTTCTTTTTTTCTTAAACTTTTAATTTAATTTTTCTCGGCCTTATTCTTTGTTAAATTATATAATAGAGCTCGTGAAGCTACTATTTTACATTTTGCACTTTTTAACTTTACGGTTGATAAGCGCGTTTAATTTTTTACTCTCTTTTTTATTACTAATTTTAAGAATCATAGCGTGATCTTCGGACGAGCATAGCTAGCTAAGCATTAGATTCTCTTTGATTGCGCTCGCCGCAAGCTTTATTAGCCTCGTTTTAACTTTTCGACCGCCACTTACGCTAAACCTATTGAGATTACATACTTTAATTAGCGTAAAGTAAACGCTCGTTACTAATACGACGCTAATAAGCGTGATCGAGCTTTAGATCGCTTTTAAAAAGCTTACGACGCTAATTCACTTGTAAACTATAGTTCACGGGCGGATCAAGCAGCAATAATAATCGCTAAATCACTTTTTTCTTTTCGGAATCGTTTTCCTTCCGCTTTCTCTTTTAAGATCGTTGAACCTTTTTCTTTTATTTACCCTTTCGTAAAGCCGTCATTCTTTCGCTTTACGAAAAACACTTTTTTTAAAGACTACGCTAAATCAATATCTTAAATGAACCGTGAGCTTGTGTCAATCGATATCGCTTCCGTAGAACTTCTTTTATCCGTTAAACGCTTTCGTTAAACATCTAAGCATAAAATCAATAGAAACTTTAAAATCAACGGCGTCTTCGGACACGCCTTTTATATAATCGCTCGTTAAAAAGACGTAGAACTGTTTTTTACGTCTTTCTACGAGCTCGATTGCTTAATCTTCGAGCGTTAAACGATTGCTTTTACTTAAGCTGACCATTAAGCAGCGCTAACACGCTTTATTAACGGCTTTATTTCTACTATTAACTTTGCAGCAGAACTATTAAAGCTTATTAACGACCTTCTTATCTTTTTCGAGTACTTCGATTACGCATACGTATTTTTTAAGGCCGCTAGCAACGTGCTAGCATTATACAAGCTTTACGATTACAAAATCGAGCTTTTCGAAGAAAAGGAAAAGGCGCTTCCGTATTCACTATTATACAAGATGTCGATCCTTAAACTAGAGCTTACTAAAGCCTACTTTATCGACAACCTTAACAAAGGCTTTATCGAACTTTTAATAGCGCTATTTGCAGCTTTAGTCTTGTTTGCTAAGAAGCAAGACGGTTCCTTCCGCTTTTGTATTGATTTCCGCGCGCTAAACAACCTTACTCGTAAAGATCGATACTTCCTCTTTTTAATCGATAAGACCTTCGCACGTCTCTTAAGAGCTAAAATCTTTACGAAACTCGATATTCGGCAAGCCTTTTATAGAATACGAATAGACCTAGCTTCCGAAAAGCTTATAACATTTAAAACACGCTACGGCGCTTATAAGTGTAAGGTTCTCTTATTCGGATTAACTAATAGACCCGCTATTTATTAACGCTATATAAATGACCTCTTTTTCGACTTCTTAGACATCTTTTATACGGCTTATTTAAACGATATCTTAATCTATTCTTCCGACCTTTTAAAGCACGCTAGCCACGTCCGCTAGGTTCTTTAACGACTCGACGACGCTAGCCTTTAAGCCGATATTAAAAAGTGCGAATTCAATACTATTAAAGTGAAATACTTAAGCTTTATCATCTTTACCGAAGGCTTAAAAGTAGATCCGGATAAGACTTCGATAGTCGAACATTAAGCGCTTTTTATAACCGTTAAAAGCGTCTAAAGCTTTTTTAGATTTTATAACTTTTACCGCCGATTTATTCGAGATTACGGCGTGATCGCGAAGCTTTTAATGCACTTAATTAAAGCTAACGTTCCTTTTTTATTTAATTCTTAGTATTAAAGAAGCTTCGACCTTTTAAAGCTCGCTTTGATTATTGCGCTAATCTTATAGCATTACAACTAAGACCTTTTTTATATGCTAAAGACTAACGCTTTCGACGGCGTAATCGCTTTAGTCCTTTCTTAAAAGCATAGTTCCGACTAGCTATTAGTCGCTTACTATTTTAAAACCATAGCTTTCGTTAAGCTTAATTACGTCGTTTACGATAAAAAGATGCTAGCTATTATACGCTCTTTTAGTAACTTCCGCGCCGAATTCGCCGGCTCCTTTTATTAAGTCTAAGTAATCACCGACCATAAGGCCTTAAAGTACTTTATGACCTTTAAGACCTTTAACGCTCGTCAAGCACGTTAAGCAAAGCTTTTTTTCGATTACAACTTTATTATTACGTATAAACTAAGTAAAGATAACTCGTTAGCTGACGCGCTAATACGCCGCACTAAAGAGCTCTTTTTTTAAAACAGCTTTAAGCGCACTTAGCGCTTGCAAACGCTGCTTCGCGCCGATAACGTTGACTTACGACTCTTGACCGAAAAGCTACGCTAACTTACGCTTTCGGAGACCGCCGTTATTATCGAAAAGATCGCGAAGCTTTTATCGATATTTCGAATTATTAATTAAGTTTTAAAAGCTAATCGGATCGCTTTTAGTTTCATAGCACTTCGAATTCAAGCTTTTAAAGTTGAGTCTTTACTCGTAAACTACGGTTCACGAGCTAAACTCATTATAAAAAGCGATTTGCTGCTTTATAACGGCCGCTTATTAGTTCTCGACGTTTAAAACTTGCGCTCGTTATTCGTCCGAGAAGTCTACGACTAAGTATTTACGGTATACTTTAGCTTTCGCAAAACCTATAAGCTCTTTGTAATACAATATTATTAGCACGGTATAGTTAAATTCGTTAACTAGTATTGCCGCAATTGCTACGCTTGCAAACGAGCTTTAATGCTTCGCGATAAAAAACCTAGTTTGCTTTAACTTTTCCCGATCTTTTCGCGCTCTTGAAAGCACGTTATTATAGATTTTTATAGCTTTAACAAAGACAAACACGGCTACGACAACGTTTTTATAATAATCGACCGCTTTTTTAAGCAAGCAATCTCGATCCTTTATTATAAGTCTATCGACGCTAAAGGCCTCGCTAAGCTTTATATCTATTATATTTATAAGTATTTTAAAGCTCTTTTAACGCTGACTTTTGATAGAAGACCTTAATACTAGTTTAAGTTCTAAAAAGAATTTAATAAAATCTTCGGCATTAAACTGACCTTTAGTATCGCCGCACACTTTAAGACTAACGGTCAAATCGAAATCTATAACTAGTACTTGCAAAAGCGCCTCCGTTCTTTCGTAAGCTACTATTAAGACGATTGGAACGAGTTCTTCTTTATAATAAACTTCGCTTAATTAACGCTCTTTTACGACTCTTTCGGCGGCCTTTTCCTTTTTAAGGTAATTCACGGCTACGCTTTTCGGACTACTTAAAATTAAAGCTTAAAACGACTTGACGACCAAACCCTTTTTCGCAAGCTCAATTAAGACGAAGCTCGCGCTTACGTTAACCGCTACTTCGGAGCTTAGAACCTCGTTAAAAAGCACTTTTAGCGCGCTTAAGACCGCATAGTTAAACAAGCTAATAAATTAAAGCGCTCGGTTGACTTCGACGTTAATGATAAGGTTTAGTTAAATATACGCTCGTTTTTTACTTCTCGACCGTTAAAGAAGCTCGATAACTCGACGAACGGACCGTTCGAAGTTACCGACAACGTTTATAGCAGCTTTAAACTTAAGCTCTTCGAGTTAATAAAGGTTCACTTAGTCTTTTATCTCGGACGGCTACGAAAAGCTTTTAATAACCTTACTCTTAAGCAAATCATTCTTGAACTTGACTCGATTAATATCATTAGCGAACTTAAGTACGAAATAAAGAACATTCTAGCCGTACGCTAAACTAAAAAGCATTTTAAGTACCGCGCTTCTTGGCTCGGCCGCGATATTAACCTTACTTAGTACCCCGCTTCCGACTTTATATACGCTTTTTTTAAAGTACGTGATTTCCACTTAGAATATAAAAAGCTCTTCGGCTTTCTCGCGAAGCTTTTCGACTAGATCAAGGCTTATTCGGACGGTGTTAATAACTACGATCACTTAAGTAGTGATAAAGCAATAGATAAACGCTCGAGGACGAGCTTTTTTCGGACGAAGAAGTAGTGTGACGACACGCCAAGTCTCTTAAACGCACCTTATATGCGCTAAGCTACTTCCTTTCTTTTTTCTTTCGTATTCTTCGTATTCTCTTATTCTCCGCTTTTGACTTATAAACTATAGTTCACGAGTCTTTGGCGCTCTTACCTTCGTGTATATAGACCTTAGCTACCTTCGACTTCTATACTCGATAGTTGTTAATTCTAAGTCATTACTTTAAGATTCTCTTAAGCTCTTATATAAACCCTCGCGCTCCCGTGAGTTCCTTTAGGTAATCGCTTAAGGTCGTTACATTCGTTATATATTTATTTAAAAAGCCGTACGAAATAATTTAATAGATTTAAGATAAATCGTTATTATAGATTAAGTCGCCGACGGTTTAATTAAGCTATTAATTAAGCGATAGTTTAAAGAGTTTAAAAAAGCGATTAGAGTGTTAAAAGTTTAATATCACGTGATTAAAGCACTTTTATTACCGACTTATTTAACTTAGCTTTTTTTCAATTAAAAGTAGCTTTAAACGATAAAGATCGATTCTTTTTAAATACTTTATTTAATTATTAAAGTTTTAAAAGATTTGATCGTAGCGGCGCAGACTTAGATTAATATTTTTATAGACTTATAAAATCTTTTTTTTTTAAGATCTTTATAACTGATAAGATATAAAAGACTAATTATAATCCACTTCTCTTTTTAATTATACATTTTATCACTTTATTCTTTTTAAATTATACTTCGAATAAAAAAGATCGTTAAACGAACTGCACGTTTAAACGACTTAGATTCTTTTAGATTCGATCGCGATGATCTTTTTTTTTTCGAAATTAAAACTAATAAAAAGCTTCGCACTCGTATTAAAGCTCGTACGAGAATTATTAAAGCTAATAGCTTAGCATTCGTTAAAGAAGCTCGAAGAAACGCTTGCTTTCGGAAACATAATTTATAATAAAAAAAACGAAGACTTTAGTTTCTGTTTTGCGACTTTTTTTTATAAAGCCTTTTTATTAGTGCCGACGAAGTCGGCAACGCTATTAAGCTAGATTAGCAAATAATCTCGGATTTAAAAGAATTATAATTAAATGTTATTACCGACGAAATAACGGGTTACTTGACTTTATTAACGATGAATTTCGAGTATTATTAATCGTATTACTTAATAAATAAAATTAGCACTTTATATTAGATTCTTTTTTCTCGATTATTCTTTTATATCGATTGTAAAAAGCAAGTTAATAGCTATATTAAGATTAAAGATAATTATACTTTTTTTTAATTCGCTAAACTGCTTATAAGACGTAATAATAGACCGGCTACTTTTCGTTTCGGCTAGTTTATTATAAAAACGGAAAGATAGGTTAGTAACTAGCTGAAAAAGGAAGGCTTATAGCCGAACGATTACGCTTAAGCAGTTTAGCAATAGAAAAACGGCAAGAAGTTCAGTCTTGCGATTTATGATTGCAATTACTTTAATACCGATCTTAACGAAATCTATAAGTCCGCGCTTTTCTTTTCGCAAAAAGAATTTATTAAAATATGTAGCCGAAGCTATACTTTATATACATCAGATCACGGACGTATTATTTATATATAATTATATACAGCAATAAGTAAGGTTTAATAAAGGCCGAATAGCGTGCTCGAGCGCTTTTTAAGCTTTTATTACTTTCGCGTTAAAAACGTGCGATAGATTATTAATAGCTCTTTTGCTTATAGCAATCTTCTTTTATTTTTAATAAATAACGTATCCGTATTCGATGTATTTATGCTCGTCTTTATATTGCTTTAAGCCGTTTAAAAAAAAAGTAATATCTCGGTCGATAAGTTAAGCTTACTACTTTTTAAAGTCTTTAGCGGCTTGCTCTTTCTTAACGCTTTAAATGAAATCCGTGCGGCATTTAATTAAAAAGTAAAAATAAGCTAGCTTTAATCGTAAGCAAAAAGAAAGCATAGCTTTTAGTTTTTTAAGTTTTGTCTTAATCCGTTATCGAAAGCTTATAACAAGACTTTTAATAATTATAAAAAAAAAGATACGCTTTATTATCGAGTAAGCCTCGTTAATTATTCGCAGCCGCAATGCTTGCCGCACTTTAATCTCTTCGAATGCTATTTCTTTAAAAAAAAGTCCGGCGTCTTTTAAAAAAGTAGTAGTTAAAGCCGTGCGCTAAATAAAAAAGACATTTTTCGTTACGTAAGCAATAATCTTATTAACCGTATCGATATGCCTTTTTAAGCTCGCGTTAATTTTTTTATTTAAATTGTTTTTAATCAAGTGTTATAAAAGCTTCGTTCGTTTTTCGTATTAAGCTTCGATGTTATATAAGATCGATAATAATACGCAAATGATTATTGCTTTGCGTAACGCGTAAGCGAAAAAACCGTCCGCTATACGAGCGAAGCTTTTAATATAAAATTCTACTCGTCGTACTTTTTCAGCTTTTTCGAATAAGTAGCGTTTAAAAGTTATTTTCCGATCGAATTATACTTTAAGCTATCGTAGCTTTAAAGTAGCTTTTATCGTCGAAAGCTGCGCTTAAAAGCTTAAAGTAATATCGGTCTTATTTAGTTATAAGATAATTATATTTAAAGCAAAGTCTTCGTTTTTATAAAAAAAGTAAATCATTTTTATCTTTTTTAAAGCAAAGAAGATTTGATTCTTTGCTTCGTAAGCTAAGATATTTTAAATATCCGTTGCGAAAAAGATAATATTAAATATAAATAAGTGTAACGCTTTATAAATGCAAATGTTATTAGCGTATTTAAATCGCAATATCGTATCTTAATTTAAAAGTTCCGCGAAGTATAATATATATAAAACAAAAAATAGCGGTGATCTTTAAAATATACTGTATTTTACGTCGTAGCGGTTCGTAATTATACTTTCGAAGCGCACTTAAACTTGTCGGTCGCTAAAAAAAGAATAAATAAGCTTTAAGAAAAGAGAAAGCTAGCTTTATTTATTTATACGCTTAAAAAGCCGACGCTTAAGCAAAGCGTCGAAAGCTTTTTAAACGTTTAATATTATTATCGTAATAATTTTATTTATTAAGAAAGCTGCTTCGATATCGTAAGTA